TGATCCAGTAGCATGGGAGTTTGTTGGGGGTCACAGCAGCCACAGAGGCTGTGTGTTCTTTGGGGATAACCACAACGTCACAAGCCTTATTTATTTATTTTTTAAAATATTTTATTTATTTGGGGGTGGGGAGCACGAGCCAAGGGGAGGGGCAGAGGGAGAAGCAGATGCCACGGGAGAGCAGGGACCACCCTCCCTACGCGAGGCTGGATCCCAGGTCTCGGATCATGACCCCATCTGAAGGCAGACACTTAATGGACTGAGCCATGCAGGTACCCTCCCTCCCCATTTTCAATATATCTTAATTTTATTATCCTTGAGCTCACATTTCCTAGACCATAGAGGCACATTGATTCAGAGGAGACCAGGCTGGGTTTCTGCAGGTGACACCATAATACCTAGAGGAAGGTAATTTCACACATAAGAAAGTAATTCCCCAAGCCGGCACATTCGGGATGACCACCTCTGGAACCCTTTCTTGTCAGATATTTTTGTTTTGTTTTGTTTTGTTTTTTAATGGAAAGGACACTTACTTTTTATTCGTAAACTATTTTTCAGCTTACTGCCAAGTGAGCATAGAGGATGGTGTTCTGCATACCCTCATCCTCCTGCACAGCCAGCCTCCCCCATTATCCACCTCCCCCAGCAGAGTGGGGCGTGTGTTAGAGCTGGTGAACCTGTGCTGATGTGTCCTCACCACCCCGGGTCCATGGTTTAGGGCTCACCCCTGCTCTTGGATAATCTTTGGTTTTGACAGGTGTGTAGCAACGTGTGTCCCCCATTATGGTACCCTCCAGAGTAGTTTCACTGCCCCCAAATCCCTCTGCTCCCCCCCCCCCCGATCTCCACTCCACCCCACTTTACTCCCCATCTTTTTACTGTCTCTATAGTGTTGCCTTTTCCAGAATGTCCTGTGGTTGGAATCCTACAGGGAGCAGCCCTTTGGGATTGGCTTCTTCCACTTAATGATATGATATGTGTTTAAGGTTCTTGCTTGTCTTTTCCTGGCTTGAGAGCTCATGTCTTCTTAGCACTAAATAACATTCCGTTGGGCAGACCACAGAGGATTTAAACATCTACCTGCTGAAGGACGCCGTGGTTGCTTCCAGGTTTTGGCAAGTAATAATAAAACTAGACATCCACATGCAGGTTCTTGTGTGGAGATAAGGTGTTACCTCCTTAGGGTAAGTACCAGGGAACAGGACTGCTGGATCACCTGGGAAGAGCGTGTCTAGATGGTGAGAAACCGCCACACTGTCTTCCCAAGTGGCTGCGCCATCCTGCACTCCCGTGAGCGAGCAGCCCTGTTGCTCCACGTCCTCGCCGGCATCTGGTGGCTGTGCCCTGATTTTGGCCATCCTCATAGGGGTGTAGTGGGATGTAGCTGTAGTTTACGGGTGTCTGATGCCACGTGGCGTGGAGCATCTCTCCACGTGATTCCTTGCTGTCGTGCATCTTTCCTGAGCGGTCTCTTTGGGTGCCTTGTCTTCATTTTCTTACTGTCGCGTGTGCTGTGTGTTCTGGAGAACAGTCCTTTAGCAGATGTGCCTTTTGCAAATATTTTCTCTCAATCTGTGTCATGTCTGTCTCTTGATAGAACATTGATTTTATGTTGGAAGTCCGTGGGATTTCTTAAATGCTTTTCAGGAAATAACCTTACAAACAGATTCGCTGGAATGCTTCTTTCTTACCAGGGATACTTTGAACTTGCTTGATCGATTTTACGTCATTTTAGACTCTTGCTCTAAAAGCTGATGCTGGCCTTCGTTTGGCTTCCCCTGGTTTCTGTGTCGTGTGTCAGGTAGCGTTCTGGGCCGTGGTCGTCTGGTGAGAGGGAGGCGTGCTGCTGGTGGTGATGGAGAGCACTGTGCCCGTCGCTATTCGGCACGCACGTCGGAGGTTAACAATTGATGACGTTGCAAGAGGAATGTTGGTAGTTGCAGTGGATTTTCTCGAGGGTGTGGATGCCTGGTTTTAGATGGGTGCACAAAACAAACAGCTGTGGCCATGAAGCAGCCACCGTCTCGGATTCGCTGTGCGCCCGGTGCCCAGGTGCTGCCAGGGCGCACACGTGTGCCTTTGTGCATTGGGGGGTGTGGAGGCAGCTGGGACGTGTTCGAGGCGTGTCGCAAGCGCGCATTAACGCCTCTCTGACCGATTTCCAGGAGATGGATAGAACCTCAAAGTTGAACTGAAGCTGGTGGGGCCTGAGATTGCTCCGCAGTTAACTTTTTGATGGCATTCCGTTAACAGCCGGCTTTCCACAGAGCAAATTGTAGGAAGTCACATGTTCTGGCATCGGTTACCCTTAAATTAGAAACAGGACAATAGAGGAAGTTGTTGATTGGAACAATGGTAGTTTCACTGGTCTAAGTGCATCTGCAAATCCTACCCAGGTCCTTGTCCCTGAACGTGGCGACAGTCCCCGCGGAGGGAAGCGCGTTTTCTCTGCTAGGGGAAAACCTGTCTGAAATGTGTTTCTGGTCTTCCAGTTGGATAATGCTGGAATAAGTCATGGCTTAAGCTTCACGTTTTTCAACAGCTCCAGAGGAGGCTCTTTGCAGCACATCCTTGCCCGTGCTTTGGGGAAGGAGCAAACCAGTCTTTTCTCCTGAAGCTGTTTCAGTGTATTTGTCAGGGTTTAGCGTGGCCTCATAAGTTAGGTCCTTCAAAAGAATGTTCATAAGATGTTTTATTGTAATGGTTTAGTTATTTTGGTTAATGTTCTACCGTTTACGTAAAATAGCTTCCTCAAAGAAAACAGTCTGCCTGCAATAGGAGCTTTGTGGACAGTGGAAACCTGGTTTGACATCGTCTGATTGCCTTCCTCGGGGATGATGCACCCTCACCCTGGCGCTTGGCTGATGGGAGAGCCGCCCTGTGCACCTGCCCCCTGTGCTCCTGCCTTTTCTTCTCAGCTGCTGCTGCTGCTTCTTCTTCTTCTTCTTCTTCTTCTTCTTCTTCTTCTTTTTTTTTTCCTCAGCTTCTTTCATTTCCTTGTCTTGTGGAGTCTCCATGGAAAGGGCACTAGAAATAGAACAAGTGTGGGGAGACCATCTCAGGTTTGGTACCCAGGACAGGTGCAGCCGTATGCCACATGGGTCCTTGTGCCTCGCTCCAGAACAAGTGCTGTGATTGAGTTCAGTTCACACCGGGAGGGACCCTGGGTTCTGTCTCCGAGGAGCCGATGATCAGGTTCCAAGCAATGCACACGTGAACTTTGGAACATAATCCTGTGTTAGCCCAAGCTGGGGATTATACGTCGCTTGGTAATGGTTGGTAGGTTTGTCGTTAACTCGGTGATAGCCTTTTTGTCCATTCGCAGGCACTTAAAGAATTAGATCACCAAATTAAAATGTAAAGATCATTAGCCTTAATTGCAGGGGAAGGGACACTCGGGGACTTGCCAGAGTACTGGAAATGGTCTGTGTCGATATAAATTTGTCAGAATCGATAGAACGTGGCACGTTTTCACTGCATGTAAGTTACAGCTGAGCAAATGAACAAACAATGCCTACTGGTCTGCTTGTAGGCTTACTAAACAGTTGGAATATAAGGGAAAAGAAAATCCCATATACAGTGGCCACAAATAAAAAGATAAAACCGTTAGGAAGAAACTTAACTAGAAATGTGCAAAATCTGTAAAAAGGAGCATGAAATTTCTTGAGAGACACTGAGGTAGTGTGGGACAAAGAGAGAGCCCTCCTTCCCGGATTGGTGACCCCGCAGTCTATGATGGCAGCTCCCCCAGCTAACCCTCACAATTAATGGAATCACAGTAAGAATAGCAACAGGTGCGCCTTGGTGGCTCAGTCGGTTGAGCACCTACCTCTGGCTCAGATCATGATCCTGGGGTCCTGGGATCCAGTCAGGCCCCCTGTTCAGCATGGAGCCTGCTTCTCTCTCCCCCTGCTTATGTGCATGCTCTCTCTGTCAAATGAGTGAAATTAAAAACAAAACAAAACAGCAAAAAAAATATCTTTTTTCCTGAGCTAGTCTAGCTCTTAGAGCTCATATGCTTATAAACAAACATGCAAGAATAAACAGGGAGATGCTAGGGAATGAAGCAGTGAGAGGGTATGACCTCAGCAGAGTCTAGAACCTCCTGCGCACTTTGTTCTTAGAGCAGTGGGTTACTGGGCGTGAGCAGACAGGCGCGCTGGCCGGACATAATAGGAAGCTGGGAAACAGACCCAAGTACTGATGGAAATTTGATGTATGACAAAGAGGAGTCTCAGTGCTGGGAGTGAACTTAACCAATAAATCCTATTGACATGATCCGATGGCCACTGTGAAAAGAGAACAGTGCGTCCTGACGTCCGACAGCACACACGAGAATATGGATCTGAGACGTGAAAGGTACCCACTAGGTTTTTCACTGGGAATGAATGGCCGAGTTGGCCATCCTATAGCCTGTGTGCATAGCCTGACCTCTCAGTATCAGAGTTGGCTGGTACACCTTCCCGGTTCCATGGACCCCTCGACTGTGGCTTTTTTTTTTTTTTTTTTTTTTTTTTAATGATTGAACTTCAGAGAGAGCACCTGTGAGCATGAGCAGAAGGGGCAGAGGGAGAGGAAGAGAGGATCCCCAAAGTATCTTCTATCATTCCCTAAAAATCTTGTAAACCACCCCCCCCCCGGATTTGCATAGTGTTTGGAAACTGTCTCCACCCAGTGTAAGCTGCTGCTGAGCAGTTGGGTGTTGTCTTCAAGGTGCCTGACTGTAAACCAGGTTAGTCCGATCTTTGGGGAACCCCAGTGTCCTCTAACAGGAGTAGGTTTTGTTAGTTCAGTCTCGTTTCTAAGTTAGTGGTTGGAAAGCGGCTTCCGCTCTGGGAGTTTGTGCTGACTTCTGTGGGCATTCCTGCCGTGGCTTCAGAACGCGAACGTGGGTGAGTCCGTAGAGCTGCGAGATGTCGATGGACTTGTATTTACTAACTGCTACCTAGAGTCAAGCTAACTGAAGATGCTAACGCTATTTGTCATTTTCATCAATATAGATGACAGTGAAGTTGCCTGTGTAAAACCTATTCACTGCGTTTGCACGGCTTGAGGAAGGGAAGCCAGCTGTGTTAATGCCTAGCCTCCTTGAATGACAGGTAAACCCCACGCCACGCTCATGCCATTTCATGCGGGCTTCCCTGCAGCCTGACCCCGGTAGCCGGCCGCCCAGCTTCCCTGGGTGTGACTCTTCGAGAGAGCTTGGCACGGGTGGGGGGTGGCTTTCCAGCGCACACAGCCCCTGGTACATTCTGGTCAGCACGTTAGCTGGCTGTCATTCATTCATTCATGTATTCATTCACTCTTTCTGCGATCTGCCCCGGGCTCCCACCGTGGGGCCGGGGGAGCACAGGTGGTGGCCCCTGCCGTGGGAGCTTCTCCCTGCCCGGGCCAGGGTCGTGTTACCAGGTACGGTCACTGCACGGCCGCAGCGCATCTTCCGGGGAGGGCTGGGCTGCAGAGGGGTCTTCAGACTGGACCCACCAGAACTCGGTGCAGGAGGCTGTGGCAGCGAGCTGGGGGTCTCTGTGGGGCTCCCCAGAGGAAATAGCCGGCACCTTTCTTCTTCCTGCCACAAACCGGAGCCCGGAGGCCACCTCCTCCTGCGCTGGGAGACGGTGGCGTGAGCCCATCTGCATTTTCCTGTCCGCTTTGAGCAACGCCTGGTTTTGGTTCCACAAAGAGGCAGTGATGTGGAATTTGCCACATCTGGCCCAGTTGATGGATTCAAAACGTAATCATGTAAAATGTAGTGTTTCAGCATTTCTGGAGAAGACTTTTTCACATTTATTTAATAATAACCTTCGAGCAGAGTGTTTCGACTTCGACACAGTTGATACTTGCGGCCAGATCATTTTCTACCACGGTGCCGTACTTAGCAGCGTCCCTGGACTCCACCCAAGGAAGTGACAACCAGAAATGTGTCCAGATGCTGCCTGGTGTCCTCGGAGGTGCAGAATTGCCCCCGGTGGAGAACCAGTGCCTTAGGAACAGCTCCAGTGTACTTAGTACCGAGCTCGGCCGCCTGATTCCTGGCTGCTGCTGAGATGGCCTTGGCCTGGGCCTGCCGTTTTTCAGGTGTGGGTGTCGGGACGGCTGCAGCTGTGGGTCGGGGGCGCTGGGACGGAGCTCGAGGGTTGTGTGTGCCCCATAAGTGGGTCACCAGGATTCTTAGAAGAAAATGACTGTCATTCCTGCCCCCCAAGCCCCTGGTCATCAGCATGGGTGTTGGAAACCTGTCTGGATACACGTCCTTCACGTAAAAATGACCCATCTTATTTGGTGGAAGAAAGCATTTAAAATCATGAACCCATATTGTGGTTTGACAGGTTGACAGTTTTCTTCTCTTTTATTTTCTTAGGACAGGAATCACTCCGAACATAGGGATGGAGTGAGAGTGCAGATGTTGGTAATTGTTAATGCTGATTGATTTTGTTTTTAGATACTGTTTTATTTTGTAGGTTACAAGTTGTTTCATAATATGTTTTCTAAAAAGATTTAAGGTTAGAAACCCTGGTTGTTTTTTGTTTTGTTTTTGTCCTGTGGTTCTGAGAGAGAGCCAGAGCGAGCGAGCTGGGGGAGGGTCAGGGGGAGAATCTCCAGTAGGCTCCACACCCAGTGTGGAGCCCAATTCTAGGCCTGATCCCATGAAACTAAGATCATGACCTGAGCTGAAATCAAGAGTCAGACTCTTAACTGACCAAACCACCCAGGTGCCCCCAAACCCCATGTTTTAATTGAGATGTTATATGGTAGGGGCCACTTGGAAAGTTGGAGAGCAGTCTCGAGGACAGGGATTGTCAGTGAAGTGTCGCAACATTGGGGAACATGAGAAGCACCTGTGCAGGCAGGATGCAGACTTGCTGGCCTCAGGGATGCTCGTTGCAGCAAGAAGGGGCCCTGAGGGAGCCCTGGAATGGTGACGTGGTGAGGGAAGGAAGGACCTGCTTTGCCTGAGGCTGGGGCTCCCTGTGGGGGTGCTCTGTGGGAAGGCTGCCCTTGGTTGCCCATCCCTGGGGTGGGGGAGGGAGAAGGAGCTAATTAAGATCTTGTTTGGTCCAGTGACTGTTAACTAGAAATATTTTTGTTTAAACCAGTTGTTGAAAATCCGGTGAGATTGCACTTCACAGGCCTACCTTAGAATAAGTAAGATGGGAACACCATTTGTGTGATTTTCAGGTCCCCTTGTCTAATGCACTTGGGATTGAGGAGAACCCCAGTGCCTGGAGGCCTGAGTCCAGCCGAGTGCATGGGCAGACCTGCATCCTTAGTCCTATCTTGCGTTTTCCTAAAACCTTCTTACGGGGAAATGTCTAGTTAGTTGCAAGGCAGTGGACGCTTTATTGTGATGTGTTCCTCTGGGTAGAGAATGCATCACAGAGCCCAGGACAGTGGAAATGTGGGTTGAGGAGTTCCACCCACCAGGAATGCTGTATGTGGGTCAGGAGCTTGTGAGCCCCTGGACGGGATATTCAGTTTGCGGTGCAGGTACCTTTCCCCTGGAGAGGGGCTGTGATTTTCATTTGATGATCAGAAAGAGTTATAGTTATAACCTGCCAAGGTCAAAGATCATCCCTGTAGATAGCCCGCACGCTCGTACTTGGCTGCTTTTGGGGGGACTTTCAACATCCTTCCCCCACCCCCTTTAGGGTGGCAAGTCACCCCATTCTTGCTCTACCCATCCTCCCACTTCCCACTTCCCAGGCAGCATCCCTGCTCCTTTGTCCAGCCTCCCTGCCTCCCCAGCCTCTCCATCCCCACTCCCAGGAGGCTGACAGCTCTGCTCTTTGCTGGTTCTCGCCGGCTCAAGAGCAGAAGCTGAGCTCTCTCCAGCTGTCTGGCCGTCATCTCTCTGGCTTCCCACCATGGTGTTGTCTTTACCCCCCTGCCCCAGGGTTAGCTCTCTACAAGAAGCCATCTCCAGGAATTAGTGTCTTGTCCACAGCTGACCCCGAGTAAGCACCAGAGAGCCGCGGCGGTCTGAGGTCAGGGTCTCCAGGTGGCCGAGGACCCGTCCATGGAGCGCCTGGACAGCCTGGGGAGGGGGGGGGGTTGGCCACATGGCGGCCGCCCCCGACTGACTCTGCTGGGTTGTTTTCCTCTTTTGCAGATCAACCAGTCACTCGATGGGGAGCAACGGTGGACCTCCTTTTTGTGTCACCTTCCCACCTCTCTGTAGCAAGAAAAGTAACTTCAGCACCTCTTCAATAATAATGATGAAACTGGTATTAACTGAATGGCAATTATGGATTTTTAACTCTAATTCACAGTAAACCAGCAAGCCATATGTTTAAAATCCAACCAAAAATCCTTTTGTTTTGCTGCGTGTCTCACCCGATTGTGAGAAGTTGCGAGATCTCTATTTGTACAAAGAGGGATATAAGCGTTACTTGCCGGAGGAACCCAACTGAAGCAGAAAGAGAAGGCGTTCTAATTTATCCTTAAAGATACACGATAGTAATTATTTATATAGGTAGAGGAAATATATATATATACACACACGTGTATATATATATATATATATATATATATATATACACATATATACACACACACGCACACATATACATATATGCTTTTGGTGGTAATGAGAATGGCCCCGCAAAACGCCGACTCGGAATCTATGCAAGTTCAGGAGTTGCCTGTCCCCCTGCCGGACCTGCAGAAGCCTGGAAGCGCGGACACCCACGATGAGACCATCAGCGAGGGGTCCATAGACCGGATCCCTGTGCGCCTGTGGGTGATGCACGGGGCCGTGATGTTTGGCAGGGAGTTCTGTTACGCCATGGAGACGGCGTTGGTCACGCCGATCCTCCTGCAGATTGGTAAGTGCCCGGTCCTTAGCACTGAGCATCAGTGTTCGTGGTGTGAACTCCCGAGTGGACGTCAGCACACGGAGCTCGTCACTGGCTGGAAAGTGTCAAGAACCTTGGGAACCAGCAACCTGGTCTTTGCTCCCCACAACCTACTCTGGCCATTTTTTTCCCTCTCATTCTGAAGCAGGGCTGGGGAGGCGGGTGGTCCTTGGATGTTGACCAGGTTGCACCTGCTGTGGCGAGTGGTCACGGAGCACTGGTGTGTGTGTAGTCAGCTTTGATATGTGCTAATCCCGGTGTGCCGGGAACCTCCTGCCCTGTTCCTGCTTCCTGGACATGGTCACCAGCCGTGTCCTCCTGCCCTGTTCCTGCCTCCTGGACACGGTCAGCCGCCATGTCCTCCTGGGCAGGCCAGCGAACCTCCCTGACTGTCCCTCAGCTTCCTTCCCCAGAAAGGGGGGATGGTCTGTGATTGCAGACCACCCCCTGGCTGGGCACAAGGAGAGTGCTTGGAACGAGGCCTGGCCTAGAAAACCCTGAATAACATGGTTCTATATTACCAGCTTCTCGTTGTTGAGCACTTAAATCTGAGTTTTCGTGTGGACTTCGGTGGCTGAATGATGAGCACATCGAGAAGTCCTGGAGTGCACAGAGTTACCTTCAGCGGTAGAAGCCCAGTGTGAGAACACACTGACGTGCTAACTTCGGCCCTAAGCATTCTGTCCATGTTTCATTTTCCCTGTTGTTTAAGGAAGTTTGAAAATCTAATTTTCCAGCTGCTGGAAAATTACCCCTGGATAAGGGGCTGAGCGATTTAAAATACTCTGTTTCGTTCAAGGATTCCACAGGTGTGTTGTTTCTGCTTATTTTGGTTGTTTTAGGAATGTTTCCTTCTCCAAACATAATGTTTCCTGTTGCGGTGAACGCTAACTAGGCCCTGTCTGGGGATCGGTTAGTGAAGCCCAGGGGTCCTTCAATTAGGATCAGAACCGCACCGTCACCGTGTTGGGAGGAGACTTCATTTCCCGTCTCAGCAGTGGCAGGTGTCTGGTGGTGGCAGGTGTCCGGCGGTACTGCTGAAGCTCGGGCTTATTTCCGAGTTACAGGAGGCCCTGCGCCCCTGCGTCTTCTTAGCACCTTGATTGGTGCTCTCTGCACTGAGTTACTGTCATGCCACATGTTTTTCTCTCCGCTTTATTTTTCATCTTTAAAAACATCCTTAGAAGGATTCACAAGACCTCAGACAAGGTTAAGAGCATTTTAGGAGAGTTGGGGATGGTGGAGCATGAGCCACATAGGTCACTCTTGTTCTTTCACCCTCCGTATTTGTCATCTCTGCAGTTAAGCTCTTTACAGCCCGTGGGTGCCCACCGCATGCCAGGGCACTGAGGGGGGACAGGACGTCGCGGCTCTGCTCGCACAGCTTGCCCCTGGTGCGGAGGCGGGGCAGCGGCCAGACAAGCGAGAGCCGCTTGGGCACCGTGAGCAGGAGGGAGTAGGGGGGCTGCAGACCCTCCGAGGGAGACTGGGCTGCTTGGGAGGCCTGTCAGTGCGGGGGGCTCTGGGCTGACCTGGTGGAGAGCGAGCTGAGGGCACTCGGGGAATCGGGCTCAGGGAGCTCAAGAAACTGGAAGCCTGGCTTTGTGGCCAGACCTCGGGAGTCTGGTGGCAGTTAACTTTACCAGACGTTTATTTATTTTGTCCCTTCAACATATAAGGACTTGGGTTTGGCACCATGGTTGAGGTCATTACAAAAGCAGTCATAACTAAGTGGGGTGGTTACAATTAGAAATAGGGTGCTATTAGCCAGTTTCTAGACCACTTTGTGGTTAGGATGACAAATGTAGAGTTCAGGAGCTCTGGTTACTGAGAAATAAGTTGTTCTAGAAGTACAGTTTTGGGAGCTGTTATTCCCAAATTTTCGTCATGGTGGGTTATGTGTGTTTTGGCTTAAAACCCTGGCACTAAAGACTCCTTGGAATGTGTCACTTTATAGGTTGGGAGTCTCAACTTCTATACAGCTCAGCACATTTCATTGTTTGGGTGTGAGTGTTTAATATACTACGTGAGACTCGTATCAATTTCGGGTAATCTGGGATCACAAGCACGTAGCCTGTGTTCTACTATAGAACACGAAGGCATGTGCTGTGTGTTCACAGTAGCTTTGGGAAGTCGTGTGTGTGTGTGCTGCATGGGGACCTCCGGAAGTGCTGACTGTGGAGTAGGGGAGGGTGTTGCCCCCCGACTGGGGGGAGCGGAGTGTACTCCTAGAGGAATGGTTCTTCAGGAGAGCCGCGCTCATGTGGCCTGGCGCCGGGTCCAGAAGCCGAAGGCCAGTTTGTTTCCCAGGGTTGGGCTTCACACTCAGGGGTGACATAGTGACTAAAATTTCCTCTGAGTGGAGTCTGACTTCTCAGCAGAGTCAGAGGCACGGTGTTGATCAGTGAGTTTTGTGTATCAGTAGTTACTGAAGCCGATACTGAGACCAGACCATCAGGTTCTTCCTTCAGTCCACCTGATTCGTGTCTGCAGTGACTGCATGTGTTCCTGGCACAGGTGAGGCCGGGTGTGTTCTTGTCACCCCCTAGTGACCCCCCCCATGCAGGGCCCCCCAGCCACCACCAGCCTGCCTTGGTCAGTTGTGCCCTTTTTGGAGTCCCATATAAATGGAATCAGGGTGTGCGCTCCGCTGTGTTTCAGTTAGCATAACGCCCTTGTGATTGATTCGTTTCTCTTCCACACGAATCAGTACTTTGTCCCCTGAATGGACACACCGTCCTGTCTGTCCCCTCATCAGCTGATGGATTTTGGGTTGTTTCCATTTAGAGGCGATTATAAATAAAGCTGCTCTGAGCATCTGCCTGCAAGTCTTTGGATGGACGTGCATTTCATCTCCCGTGCAGGCCTTGGCGTGGGATAGCTGGGTTGAATGGCGGGCGCAGGTTTGCTTCTGTGGGAAGAGACCGGTCCCTCCAGCAGGTGCAGGGGTCCTGTTTTCTACAGCTCCTGGATAGCATTTGAGTTTCCCAAATGAACACTGATGTTAAATGAGTTTTGATGGGCTTATTGGGGTATTCGTTTATCTTCTTAGGTGAAGTCCGTGTGTTAAAACGCTTGGCTGTTACTTTAGTTGGGTTGTCTCATTGTGTTGCAAGAGTTCTTTATATATTCTTGATGAAAGTCCTTTTTCAGGCAGGTATTTGCAGATGTTCTGCCAGAGTCTGTGGTTTCTCTTTTGTGTGTGTGTGTGTGTGTGTGTGTGTGTGTGTGTGTGTGTTAAGATTTATTTATTTATTTGAGACAGCTCCTTGTATGGACGAGGGAAGGGGCAGAGGGAGAGTGAAAAATCCAAGCAGACTCTCTGCTGAGCCCTTGTTTTGGCTTTTGTGGATCTATCACATTTCCTTATAAATTTTGTTTTTATTTTTGTGAGATTTTATATATTCTTGAGGGTCAGAGAGAGGCAGAGACACATAGGCAGAGGGAGAAGCAGGCTTCATGCAGGGATCCCGAAGTGGGACTCGATCCCAGGACCCTGGGATCACATCCTGGGCCGAAGGCAGACGCTCAACCACTGAGTCACCCAGGCATCCCTAAAAGCATTTTTATATTGCGTTAGTGACCATAGAAAAGTTGGTCACTTACTAGTTGGGTAGCTCTTAATGTCTGTAAGGTCTGTAGTGATGTTCTTTTCTGTCTGATAATGGTAATTTGTATTCTCTTTAGTTCTTGGTTACTTTGGTTAAAGATCTATCAATTTTATCTTTTCAGAAAGTTAGCTTTATTTAATTTCTCTGTTGTTTGTCCATTTCTTATTTTAATGGTTTATGCTCTTTTTTTCTTCTGCCTACTTTGGTTTTTAATTTACTTTTTCTGGTTTCTTCAGGTCAAGCTTAGAACATTGGTTTTTGAAGTTCTCCATCCCAATAAAATCATTTCTTAAGAAGTCACTTATTAGAAATGACCTTATTTATGATAAAATTACCATTGCATAGAGGGGTCTGGAGGAGAGTAAATGGGATCCAGAGCCCTGGGTTACCTGCTGTGGTCAGCAGCCTCTGAAATGGCCCCCAGGGACCCCTGCCATCTGGTTTTCTTGGCCCCGTGTAATCTCCTCCTCTTGAGTGTTTTCTTTTAACAAATAGACTATGGCAATAATGAATGGATGTCACCTTTGTGACTAGATTATAAAAGAATGTGGTTTCTCTCTTGTCAGAAGACTGACTCTCATGCCCTGTTGGCTTCTATACTTTGATGAATCATGCTGTGTTCTTGGGGAGATTTATGTGGCCGGGAACTGAGGGAGCCTCCAGCCAAGAGCCAGTGAGGCTCACTGCCTATGAACCTACAAGAAACAGAATCCTTGCGTCAATCAAGTGGGTGAACATGGCTCCAGATCTCCCCTGCCCACCCTCTGAAGCCATGAAACAACTAGAGCTCTGGGAGAGACCCTGAGCCAGACCACCCAGCCAAGCCCCGCCCAGGTTCCTGCTCCACAGAAACTGAAAGACAGTAAATGTTCTAAGCCACTATATGGCACGTGATTTGTTACACGCCAGTAGATAACTAATGCGTGTGCTCTGTGAGGTAGAGTTTCTGACTGCACTAGTCCACTACTTTCAGTTAGAGCATTTAGTATTTTTCTTTTTTCTTTTTTTTTAAGATTTAATTTTTAAGTAATTTCTACATGATTGTGGGGATGGAACTCAGAACCATGAGATCAGGAGTCAGGCGCTTCACCGCCTGATGCAGCTAGGTTCCCCTAGAGCATTTGGTATTTTTCCCACTGCCTAAAATACTTCTCATGTTAGAAGGTATGTAAATGCTCAGCATAAAAGTTTATGTTTTAAGTTGTGTTTGAAGATATCAATGGTAGAGATCTTTCATAAAGTTGATTTTTCTCCAACGAAAACCCCCTTGAAATTCAGTAAACTGAAAGCTACGAAAAAAGTAAGTTAGTTCAAGCTCTGCTATCACAGAGATTAGGAAGAAAGTCATTTTTCTTTTTC